GAGAGAGCTGGGCTTTCCATAACACAAGTTTTGTGGAGAATGCTCTCACGTTGTCATAGGCAGCACTGACGAGCTGCCCCTGGCCTTGTAACTTCTTGTTCAGTACATTCAGCTCATGCGTGATGTCAACAAGAAAAGCGAAGTCCATGAGCCATTTGGGATCACTTAGCACAGGAACAGCCACCCCATCCTTCTCCATGAAGGTTTTCACTTCTGCTCTCAACTCAAAAAATCTCTTAAAGACGTTTCCCCTGCTGAGCCAACGTACCTCGGTGAAGTAGAGCACATCCTCATATTCTGACTCAATTTCCTCTAAAAAAGTACGGAACATCCGGTGCTTTAAGCCCCTGGATCTGATTTGGTTGATGCATTTCACAACAACAGACATCACATTGTCAAACTTCAGGCATTTGCTGCAAAGCGCCTGCTGATGGATGATGCAGTGCAGAGCACTGGCCTCCTCCACACCCTCCTCTTCTAGTTTTCTTTGAACAAGTGCCACCAGTCCATTTCTCCTCCCTGTCATTGAATGCGCTCCGTCGGTTGTTATTCCAACAAACTTCTTCCATGGCAAACCGGCATTCACAATGGCATCACACAGCTGGCAAAATATCTCCTGAGCGGTGGTGTGGCCATGCATTGGAATTACTGTGAGCAACTCCTCCATCACTTCAAAATTGTCATCAACACCACGGACGTATATTGTGAGCTGGGCAGTGTCAGTGATGTCTGAACTCTCATCAAGAGCGACTGAGTATGCATTGAAAAATTTGGCTTTCTCACGCAGTTGATCATGAATGTCACTTGACAGGTCAGAAATGTGCTCTGCCACGGTGTTAGCAGAAAGGCTGATGTTGCTAAACTGACCTTTATTTTCCGGACAGACTATACTTGCAGCCTGTAAGATGCACTTTTTGATAAACTCGCCTTCTGTGAATGGCTTTCCTGCCTTAGCAATCATCTCACTAACCACGTAGCTTACTTCGACTGCTGCATTATTCTCTTTGGTTGCTTTCTTGAAGACATTTTGTTGCCTCAGTAGACATGTTTTAAGATTAGCAACCCAGTTGGCTCTCTCATCTCCCTGGTATTTTGCATACTCCTCAGCATGTCTAGTTGAGTAATGACGTTTGAGGTTGTATTCCTTGTGCACCGCAACTTTTTCTGTACAAATAAGACACGTCGGGGTGCTCATGTGCTCAACAAAGAAATATTGCATCTCCCACTTTTCCTGAAATTGTCTGTGCTCGTCACCAACCTTTCTCTTCACTGCAGGCTTTGAAAAAGACATGATTGGGGCTGTGTGACAAGATATATATTCATTCCACTTGCTGTCGCTCACGCAATAAAGTTTCAGTCAATTGTTTAGCCAACCAGCGACGCACGGAGACGTAATTTCCGCAAATTCACGTTATTTCCACTTTTTCCGCCTTTGCTCAAGATGCCACTTTATTAATCACTGACACAAAGACTGATACCGTCACTGCAGTATAGCCTAAATAAGTCCCACTGCATTGTAAGTGGCATGTGTGTGCTGTTTTAAGCGTCGTTTTACGTGCGTTTCGGGACCTGTGCTCGTTGTACCTGCGCTGTCATATGTACTTAGCGTTCCGGCACCTTGTGATTTACAAATGAAGCACTGGATACATCATGACCTGCGCGAAAGAGAGCGGAAAACTATGAATTTCACCCTCCTGCTCTCCGCACATCCAAAGCCACTCTTTACTCTCCCGGCTCTCTCTCTCACTCACTCTCACACGTACACAAACACACACACACACGACCCCGCCCCCCATGTCACTCACATGCATGCCGCATTCACTGGACAGGCACACAGTAGGAAACCAGAGCATCATAACATTGTCCCACACAGCAGCTAACAGCGGGGTTGCTACAATATAAAACTCGCGGGCCGCACTAACATTAAACTTTCATATTAAGGTGGGGGCCACAAAATATCGTCCCGAGGGCCGCAATTGGCCCGCGGGTCGCGAGTTTGAGACCCCTGCCTTAGAGCCTAGTCTCACATGGTGTTGGACTAGATGACGCCTTTTGGCGTCAGGAAAGCTGTCTCGGGTGTGGACCAATCAACTTCAAGGACAATGCATACATTATCAGAGTTATGTTTTTTGTTTGCATTATGACTGCAGGTATTGTGGTCTATGCAAACATGACTTCTTGTAAAAAAAAGGTGTCAATTTTGTTGCCAGATAAAAGGGTAAAAAAACAATTATCATATTTTCTACTGGCAAATGAGGTTCCAAAGGTATGTACACAACAGAGAGCTAACTGTGTGGTTGCTTTTGGGATTTCACGCTGCCCTTTTTGTTAATGGCCAGCTTTCAGCATTGCAAAATGGCATCGTTTGGCAGTGTTGTGACTCGCACATTTATGTTCTTGCTTGTGCTTGTGGCTGACCGCAGCCTTGATCCCAGCCCTGCAACAACCGTGACCTCAACACAGACTCCACGCCTATCTTCTTGCACGATACCCATAAAGAGGAGATTCTACATCAGGTGAGAACCTGCTCAGTTCCTTTTTCAAACAGCTAACCAAATTAATGACGCAACTAACGTGATATGTTTGCACGTCCCACCAGAATGGCGTGCGCGATGGCAACCCCAGTGCTTGAGCCTAGCAGGGACTTCCCGGCGTGGCTGGAGGCGCAGGGCGTGAACGAGGAGGTGGCCCGGGCCATGGACTCTGAGCTGGGCATCCGGGACTACGGGGTCCTGCGCGCCTGCGTCGGGGACGGCCTCGTGCGTGCCGAGCTGCTTTCCACGGCGCGCGACCGCCTGCCCTTCGGCTTCTACGCCGTGCTGCGGCAGGTGGTGAAGGCCCTGCAGGGTGCCGAGCTCCACAACGCTGGGACGTCACCCTGGGACGCTGTGCCATCTCCGGGCGACGTGACGCTGGGAGGCCTGGTGGACGTGCTGCTCACACTTTTCAGCGGCTTGAGCTGAGAGCTACTGGTTTGCGCACAGAGGCTGGGAGACTTTGATGGTGCTGGGGCCAGTGCCGGACGCTCCATTTCGGACAGCAAGGAAATAATTTTTGAGGAAAAAGCAATGGATGATGCGGATGATCAAGATGTCGATGGTAAAAGTGCATTCGGCTCGCAAAGCAATAATATGTTTACGTTTAAAGTTGTACAATGAGATGTATTCACGCGGAGTATGACAAGTGACGTCGCGAAATGACGTCTAATGTAATGACATCGCCTTAGCAGGCAAAGCCTTCAGTGCTGGTTGTCACCTATCCTTGTATCAATTTAGTCGATTTTATTATAGATAAGTTCATAATAGCAACACGACATTTGTGCTAAAATTTTGCTCATATTGGATTATCTTCACAGGAGTTATCGTGGCCTTCTGTTATTGACAGACGATAGAGCAAATGCATTCACGCTAAACTAAACTATTCTTATTTTACCAGGTAAGGCCCACTGAGCTATATGGCTCTTTTTCAGAAGCGACCTGGCCACAAGTGATACCTCGACGAAGTGCCTTATCATCACGTGCAATTGTATGGCAGTCAAATACTTGAACGCATGATGTTGATTCTTAATGTTGAGAGAAAAACCAGAGAACCCGAAGAAAAATCCACTCGACCACGGGGAGAACACGCAACATCCAAATATACAGGCGTCTAGGTCGGGATCGAACCCACGACTTGTATACCAGGCGGGGTATTTAACATTTCCCCACGCTTTTCAACCTCATTTGTCAAGTCTATAAAAAAACGTTTTTGAGCCAGATACAACTACCTGCTCTTTTGGCAGAATCATTTCAAACTGATGAAAAAAAACACTTACGTGGTCGTATTTCTGCCAAATATTAGCCAAAGCAAGCATTGAGGCAGTGCTCATCTCTTTTCACAGCACTGATCCAATGGTGAATATTCCATATTCCTATGGCGGGGGCCAGGCTATTATAGAACAACAATTGTTAACTTCCCTACAAAGTCGTACTCATTTTATTGATCCCGGAGGGATGATGGCCAAGTCATTCCACCGACCAGGATATAAAATTCCCAAACTCCCGATGGCGATTCGCTTGCTCTACTGCTGAACCACCTGGCCGGAACGCTTACGTCACTGATCATTTTCTTGGTTCTTTCGGTAAAGTCACGTAGAAGGGAAATAATAAAATAATGAAAATAAAACATAGTAAAATACAATTCTCACGACGTTTCGGCCACAACACAAGCAGTCGTGAGAATAACATTTTATTATGTTTTATTTTTATTCTTTTATTATTTCCCTTCTACGTGACTTTACCGAAAGAACCAAGAAGATGAATCCCTGCAGTCACGAAAGCTTTAAATCAAAATTCACTGATCATTGTTCATTTCTCCCCCTCCCCAAATGTTTGTGTGCCTTGCTCTTTGGCCTACACAGAAAATGATGGGCACACCCGGGCCTCATCAGAGGCAGGAGACTGCAGCCCAAACCCGTCGCTGCACATGATCAAAACCGAGGCAAGCTGCGCTGGTGAGTACTTTAAGACGAATAAAAGTGTACACTGTCCCATCCTATCTGTCGCCCCCTGTGATTGGCTGATTTGAGGAGACGAGGGTTTTAGTAATATGATGTGATTATGAAAAAATGACAAGGTTTGATAGAATAGCAAACTAAGACGAGGAAAAATCTTGAAGATGGAACAAACAGTTTTAGAAATGATCGTTGAATGCAGACTCCAGTGGTAGAACGCATTACAAAACCTTCAGAGGCGTGCACTCATCAGCGCGGTGAAGTATGGTTGGTTGAAGGACCCCTGTGACGGACACGGCGTGTGGAGGCCCTCTTCCAGCAATGGCTTGACAAAAATGGCTGTACATGTGTACACATGTGGTCATGTGCCGCCCAGGATAGAAACAGACACGTGCGGAGGACCACGTGTACGTGCAAGTGTAATTCATCCTCAATAATGTTGAACGATTGCTGTTCATTTTTTTAAATTTACATTTTATGCATTTTTTTATTATGGTAAGCGCACAAGCCCGATAAAACGTGTCGATGATTTCTGCGGAGGGGTACAGAAAAACCAAGGGTGGCGGGGGGGGGGGACTTTTGGCACTTGAACATGTATAGGTGTGGGGAAGGAATGCTCGCTACCCCACCCTAACGGGGGGGGGGGGGGGGAATGGGAGCTTATGTTTATGGGGGGGGGGAAGATGAGCCGGGAGGAAGTAGCCAACATTCTAGGGGGAGATCGGGTATAGTGGGAGGGGACTTGGAAATGGACCATGCTATAAATCATATAACATACATGCGGCTTTATGTGTTGGGGTGACAACCTCTCCTCTTCTGGGTCTGTGTTATCTCAACTGACGAAAGGATAAAAGTGGGGGTGGCGGGGGGGGAGGGCAGTTCATTTACATTTTCTCTGATTGCTCTTTCCATCTTCTGTTGTTTTGTTCACGTTTACACACGATCGTTCACTTGATCTACGTAAAGTCTTCTGTAATTATCCGCCATCGCAGCCCAAGCTTCGGGCTGGGCACCTGTGAGAAAGAACTTCCCCTGGCTCATCCTGAGATGCAGCAGTGCCATTTTTAAACGTCTGCGTTAATCCACACGTCCGTTGTCTTCTGCCATTCAGACGGTGATCATCAGAGTCCCACGTCGGACCAGAGAGACTCCAGCCCCAGCCAGACGCCGCCCAGGATAGAAAGAGACGCGTGCGGAGGTAAAGATGAGTTGAAAATAAACAAATGTCTTACCGCGTGGAGATGTGACGATGCAAGCATTCATCGATTAATGTTGATTCTCACGCAGATACGTGCACTCAATTGTTTGTGTGGGAATGTTTTTTGCTTTTCGTATACGGCGAAATGTCCCGTGGTTAAAATTGTCTCCAATTATATTCGTGCCTTTGTTTCTCCAATCCAGTGCCATTGTCACACTGCAACAGGTACTCATTTAAGGCCAAATCAACCTGGGTGGAGGGTCCCAGGACCGTTTCAAGAATCCTTAGATACTGATTTTCGCCATGCCTGGCAATCAAATCCATGTCGCCAGATTGGTATTGCAGTGCGCTAACCACTACGCCACTGCTCCCCCTCAAGACAAAGACAGACGCGCATGCCTAATGGACAAGTACTGCCCTTTTGTCAATCCGCTGCTGAATGAAGATAACCCCACGTTGGTCAGATCATGGGGGTTATTTGAACATACTTCATTGTTCCTGGTCAGTGCGGGTGGGTGAAGGAATTGATTTTGCCCTGTCGTGGCCATAAAATAAAACATATCCACAATATGACGTCTAAAGTGACTTCTCTGATTATTTTTCCCAAGGTAATTCGGGCTTTGTCATCCAACAAGTGACCTCGCTTCAGGAGATGGGACTGGACCTAACGAATGCAACCAATGTTGACTCCTATCCCTGGCTTCAACAGCAACAACAGCAGCAGCTGCCGGTCGACAAAATACAAATTGACACTGGCTGCACGGTCCCGCCCATGTGTGCCGCTTACCTGCCCAAGCCGCTCACCGAAGACCACATTGACAGGCAGGACGAGGCACCGTCCAGGAGCGACACTCTGCCTCCTGCCGCCGCCGCCGCGTACCACGTGCCGAACTTTAAGCTGGTGCGGCGGCGGCGCATGCTGCCGGTTCCCGTGCCGGCGATTGCGGGCGGTGAAGACAACAAGCCGTTCCGGTGCAGCGTGTGCGCCCAGCGCTTCTCGCAGCGCGGCAACCTCGAGACGCACCTGCGCACGCACACGGGCGAGCGGCCGTACCGCTGCGCGACGTGCGGACAGGCGTTCTCGCAGAGCGCCCACCTTAAGTCGCACCAGCGCACGCACACGGGCGAGAAGCCGTACCGCTGCAAGGTGTGCGGCCAGAGCTTCTCGCACAGCGGCAACCTGAAGGCGCACCAGCGCACGCACACGGGCGAGAAGCCGTACCGCTGCAGCATGTGCGGGCAGAAGTTTTCATACTACTGCAGTCTCAAGCGTCACCAGTACACGCACACGGGCGAGAAGCCGTACCGCTGCAGCATGTGCGGGCAGAAGTTTTCATACTACTGCAGTCTCAAGCGTCACCAGTACACGCACACGGGCGAGAAGCCCTTCCAGTGCTCGGAGTGCAATCGTGCATTCCCCGACCTGAGCAGCCTCAAAAGCCACCTCAACGTCCACCGACGCTACAAGCTCTCGCAGGGGCGGTGGCGGTGATGCTGGGATAATTGCCGCCGAGTCGAGGGTTGGATATAACACCATGTGCGAAGCTCAAGCCGTTATCTTGGCTCAAGTAATAACCTTGAACAGAAAGCCTTGACTGAAACATACATAGCGAGTGTTTGTGGTAACCGTAATGCTAATCCTTCACGAATCCCCAGTCTCAAATCTATCTGGCTTGACCACCTGAATGTGAAATTGTAGTTGTTGCTCTGCGAAAGAAGAAGGCAAAACCAAATCCCGAGCCCCTTTCGTAATAAAACCTAGTCCTAATGCAATACAATACGAGCCCTAGCTTAGCAAAGACCTTGCCATAACCAACTCTTTCCTTACCCCAGAATTAATCCAAGGAATCCTTTAATGCTACCCCTAACCCTGACAAAATATTCTATCTCAAGTTTAAAACTCTAGCCACCTCTCTCCGAGCCACAGGCCACACTGTAATGTTTCCAATCATTAATTAATTAAGGCCAGGGTTGACAAACAAGGCATTGCTGTGAATACGGCGCCCGACAGGTGACAGATGAGCTTCACTTTTTGAAAACGCATGCCGTTACGGTGTCTTCGATGGACACCTGGTCTCGGTTTCAAATGACACTTGCGTTTCCCAATGAGCTCTTACTTGGTGAAACAAATCTGTTACTGACCAATGGCAACGAATGACCACCGAATGCCACCTCGGCTACAGGAACCGATGGATGGATGACGGATCGAAGGGATTCATGTGTTTTTACGGGAAGACAGACCAGGCAACACACAGCCGTTATGATAGATAATTGATGCACCGCAACAAGAGTGACAGGCTCATCACCAGTGATGATTTGTATCTGGGGCCAATAAGCCCATCCTTATTAACAACAGTTAACCCCCTGATGTGTCCTTCACTCATAGGCACTCGCGTTCAAGTTCAAGAGGTCATCATGGACAATGCCATGTATGCCATGCCACACCTCGCTGTCATTGCTTTCACTTCGGCCGGATCCTGCATTCCGGCAGATGGACTTAATGTTGAGGGTGTCGATATGTGTGCCACCCCCATATCAGAGGTCGCAACCGGGTACCCGATACCCTACCCGATACCCGGCTACCCGTACCCGGCCGGGTACGGGTAGCCGGGCCGGGTACGGGTACCCGTTTGCGACCCTGGTGCGGCCGGGTACGGGTAAGGAATCAAAACCCGTTTTCTCCCTCTACTTTCTCCTCCTGGTATTGGTTCCCATTCATGTGGGACTGCCTTCCTCAGCCACTCCATTTATTCCCATCCTGGGCGATCCCCATGCCCACTCCACGGTACTTTATATCCTGGTTTGCCACTTCGTACACCACAATCCCCTTCTAGGTGAGCGTGTGTGGACAATGTTTGAGGAACATTGGGGAGCCGCAGTTGAACATTTGAATGCAGTGGTTGTGATGCAGAAGATGCGTTTCTGTAACCCAGTGACGCGGAGAAAGGCTTCGTGGATCGTGGAGAGATGGTACTGTGATGTGCCTCATAAAATCACTTGCATGGGCGTGCAGGATAGCAGCACACGTGACTCTTGAATATCGCGGGGCGGGGTGGGTACGTTCTTGGAAAGTGCCACTAAAGCCAAAACCGCAAAATTCAATATTTAATCCTTACATAAATAATGAGGTTAGGTACACGGCAACCAAATAATAGACTGTCTCAATTAAAATAAGTACTCTACTGTATGCCTAATACACTAAAAGCCAAGTAGTTGAAATAATAATGTTAAAACCCGATACAAAAGCATTCGCAGACAATAAATCGTATAAATACTGTTCTTACCGATGATGATCCAAAGTGGGCGTATATGTGTGTGTGTTTGTCATCTCAGTCGACCCATGGCACCTGGGTCTGCCCCGTGACCTCCTGCCAGTGGGCGTTCGACACTTCACGTGGCCTCAACGTCGTGCACATCGCCTGGCACAAGCACCGTGGTGACTTCGCCACCAACTAGTGGCGACTGGCGGTTGATTGTCCGTGAGTGGGGAGGAATAGTGCTACGATTAATTCGCTGCGCTATGAACCCAGCAACCCAATTTAGATTCCTGCTCACGCCCAACACCAATGACGATTATCTAAATCGGTCCTGGGCCTCCCCTGGGTCAGCTTATCTACTCGGTACCTGGTGTGGTGCGTAAACATCGCTACTGGGGAGACAAACATGACCGGGTGTGGTGCTGGCTACCTACCCCCACGTGTGCCGTGCCAGCCTTCATAGGTGCTCGCTAACAGCACTTGCCCCAACAGTCTGTTAATACTCTTTGGTTCTGTCGGTGAAGTCACGTAGGTTCCCGAAAGAACCAAAGAGTATGGATTCCTGCAGTCACGAAAGCTTCAAATCAAGTCTGTTAATAGGTTATACGGGGGGCGTCTTTGTCCGCGAGATGCTTGCACGACCAAAGGTTGAGGTGCGACTTGACTGCCTCGCGTCTCTCGCCCGCCCCGCACTGCGGTATCAGCCATACAACACCAAAAACTAACCACCTCGATAGCTAAATTGCAACAGAAAAAGGTTGCCTGCAATAGGTAGAAACCGCGAACGATCACCCCGTGATATTCAAGGGTCTCCTGTACTGTGAGCAGGTGTCTTTGCTGGCTGCCTGTACACATGTGCACTGTGCAGCCTTTAATGGGTAAAATATAATTTCCAATCTTAGGCAATATCTTTGTGTTCTCTCTCTCTACTCTATTTACTTTTATCTAATAATTCACAGCCCTTTAACAACCCATGACTGGATGGAGGCCTTCCCACGCTGTGTCAATTTTGATTAATGCTTTCACTCCACTGCCAACAGTCCCTGAAACTTTTGTTCAGCTATCTTCATGTATGGAGATTTTCTGATGGTCGTTGAGCCATTGACCCAAAAGTTGCTTATCGGCAGGTACCACATAGAGTGTCAAATGCTAACAATTTTTTTTTCCTTTTATCTCTCGATCACAAATATGTATAATAGTAAGGTCACCATATAACTTTTAATAAAACAGTTTGAAAAAGGGTAGAATATGATAAGAAATTTTTTGGATACAAAAAAAACTCATGTCGATGTGAAGTGTGAGTACTTCCACCTCTTCCAAGACGTCTGGCCAGCGTGGAAGAGTAGACCGAATATGCTTATATAGAGATCCCTCTATGCAAGGCCCTCCATCCACCAGTGATATGAGCAAGCAATTTCAGGCTTGCAACTTCACCTTGATATGAAACATCGACAGAATATGAAACTAAATATAAAGTGTCTATAAGACTGACAATCTTGAATTTGAAGCTTTCGTGACTGCAGGAATCCATATTTTTTGGTTCTTTTGGTAAAGTCACGTGGGGTAGAAAATAAAATAAATCACGACGTTTCGGGCGCAACGCAAGCGTCCATCATCAGGTGGGAAAGCATGGTCTGCTGCTGAGGCAGACTGTTTTAAAAGGTTTGAAATGGGTGTATCTCAAACCTCAGCAGCAGACCATGCTTTCCCACCTGATGATGGACGCTTGTGTTGCGCCCGAAACGTGATTTATTTTATTCTATACCTACGTGACTTTACCTAAAGAACCAAAGAGTAAAGACTGACAATGGCGTTGCGTTTAGGTTTCTGCCCATCGTATCTTCAGCATTTGCTACCCCAGTTGGTATCGACCAGTCCTCTTGTCTCATGGGTTAAGATAATATTGCGATTGTATGTCGGCAGAGGGCAGGTTGCATTCTTGTCGAATTTTCCTGTGAGTTAGGATTTGTGCTTTAGTCACTTTATTCACAACTCAGTGTGAGACGGCATGTTTGGCTCCATGTTTATGTGCGGTGTTGCAGTAGATGCCTTGTAGGGCTCGGTGTAGTCTGTTCTGCATATAATATGTAACCCCTTAATAAAGTTTCAGCACATTACCACGTATGTATGTCGAACTTTTTTCGCATTGTATCCAACCATGCCAATCGGGGGTCCGGGGGAAGGACAACAAACTAAACACAAAAAGCAGTTCTAAAGAAATTAGTTTTCAATCCAGATCACTTAAAAGTGCACCGTTCCAGTGGCTTCCTAATATCGGAAGGAAGAACTTTCCAGACGGCCGCAGAAGCGCTGTAACAGGATACAGTATAATGAATCCGCGACAGAATGAATTATAAATTGTGGGTTATACTGGTAGGAACCTCCTGGTTACACCAGCCCACAGGGGATTATTGTGTCCGTCCGTCGTGCAGGGAGGGGCTGGGTGGGGAGGGAGGGGCTTGGTGGGGAGGGTGGGGAGGGGCTGGGTGGGGAAGGGCTGGGTGGGGAGTGGGAGGAGTGGGGCTGGGTGGGGAGGGGCTGGTCACCCCGTGGTGCCCGTATAAAACTCAACGTTTAACCTACTCACGCCGGCTTGTGCCCGCCCTCACAGTCGGACATATTTGCTGAATACACCACGCCGCCGTTGACCCTGGCCATTGACCGAGCAACCCAACGTTCCTACCAGCTCCCTCCGCAGGAATGTGTTAATGAATTCCCTCTGCATTAACATCATTTATCATTCAATCTGTCGCGGATTCATTATATCACGTTACAGCGCCTCTGCAGCCATATTGCCGACATCAGTTACACACAAGAGTGCTGCCTGGACGAGGTGTTACAACTTCTTGGTTCTTTCGGTAAAGTCACGTAGAATGGAAATAAAATAATAAAAATAAAACATAATAAAATAATTCTCACGACGATTTAAAGCTTTCGTGACTGCCGGGATTCATCTTCTTGGTTATTTCGGTAAAGTCACGTAGAAGGGAAATAATAAAAGAATAAATATTAAACATGTTTCAAAACTCCTTTAGGACAGACCTGTTCTTCACCTGAGGACGGCTGCTTGCGTTGTGGCCGAAACGTCGTGAGAATTGTATTTTATGATGTTTTATTATTTTATTATTTCCATTCTACGTGACTTTACCGAAAGAACCAAGAAGATGAATCCCTGCAGTCACGAAAGCTTTAAATCGAGGTGTTACAACTTTGTGGGCATCACTCTTAAGTGCCACAACCGTCACAAATACTCACTCGGCACGCAGACATCACGGGGGCAGAGGGGTACATTTTTATGTGTACGTATCCATATATCATACCTGTCAACCCATACGTTTTACATGTATTCTTGTACAGGGAATTGAGTGTGCAGGTCCATATGGCGTAGAGTGGTTTGCATCAGCAGCAGACCATGCTTTCCCACCTGATGACGGACTCTTGTGTTGCGCCCGAAACGTCGTGATTTATTTTATTTTTATACCTACATGACTTTACCGAAAGAACCAAAGAGTATGGATTCCTGCAGTCACGAAAGCTTAAAATCAAGATTAAAACAAATATATTTTTGTCAGTGTTTCTCCCTTGTGATGGGACTTTAAAGGATGAACGTTGAGATTTATAATGGCATGAAATATAAGGATATGATTTATTTTTCGATTTAAAGCTTTCGTGACTGCAGGGATTCATCTTCTTGGTTCTTTCGGTAAAGTCACGTAGAAGGGAAATAATAAAATAATAAAAATAAAACATAGACGGCTGCTTGTGTTGTGGCCGAAACGTGAGAAATATTTTATTATGTTTAATTTTTATTATTTCCCTTCTACGTGACTTTACCGAAAGAACCAAGAAGATATGATTTATAATAATATGGACTCGCATACGTATAATATAGGGGCCGTCCATAAATGACGTCACGCACCTGGGGGGGGGTCAGACATTTGTGACGATGTGTGACGAGGGGGGTGGGGGGTTGAGAAATGTGACGTCACATCAAAATTCGCAACTTTAAATAAATATAGACAACACGTTCTACTTAATTAAATTTACTTTGTAATAAATGTTTTCTCCTCCGACATCAGAGTGCAGCGCCACATTAAATACGCACTACAATGACAATAGTTTAAAGCGATTTGAAGCATGTTTTATTTTCAAAATGGAAATATGGTTTTGTGAGGGGGGGGGGCAGAGCTTTGTGACGTCATATTTGAGGGGGGTCTGACTTTTTGTGACGCCGTGTGACTAATGGGGGGGGGGGGTAAACATCGTCCAAAATCACGTGACGTCATTTATGGACGGCCCCATATACATGCAAACATGCATGTATTGTAGACAACGTATCATGTATATAACACACATGCACGCTAAATTATACTGAACACAGAAAACGATTGCAGGTGCACATACATTATGGTATGCCATCATATAGTGGGTGGGTGACGTTTCACTGAAAACCACGTGACCCACGAGGCCACGGCGGACAGGCACCAGGCATTGAGTGACGTCACAACCAGCTAAGGGTTGTTACAGACGCCCACGTGACTCTCCACGCGGGTGAAATAAAACCGGATGCCGTGACGTCACTAGCCTGGCGCGTTATTCTGGCGTTTAACTTCGTGGAGACGGCACGCGGCTCGAGCTACAGCGCCCCCTGGATACTGGCTTTGCCGCGTGTGCGCCGTTAAAATGTCACCCTGTCGCGTGAGTGCGAGTTATTCGACGAGAGATGTATACAAGGTAAGTGATGTTGAAGATGGCACTATGATTCTAGATTTGAAGCTTTCGTGACTGCAATGATTCATATTCTTAGGTTTTTTCGGTAAAGTCACGTAGGTAAAAAATTAATTAAAATTAATAAAAGTTAAGTTATTTATTTTTATTACGTGACTTTACCGAAAAAAACTAAGATTTATTAAAATTAATAAAAATAAAATAATTTTACTTTTATTAATTTTAATTATTTTTTTACCTACGTGACTTTACCGAAAAAACCCAAGAATATGGTACTATGATGTTTGTCATGGTCTTGGTGGTTGTAATGGTAATGGTGCTGATGGTGGTATGCAAGCTGCTCTTTGCTTCTTGTTGAGTGTTGCAAGTGATGGTAATGTGAAGATGGTAGATAAGAGTGTGGTGTTGGTGGTAGAGATGTGATGGTTTAATGGTTTGTAGTGATGATGATAGTGATACTATTCGGGATGGTGTTAGTGATGGCAATAGAAATTGCGGGGTTGGTAGATGCTTTTGGCGAAGGTGCCAGTGACTGTGCACGTTACATTATACTAACGTACGTGTAGGCACACGCACGTACTTTAATGTTATCGTCTAGTGGGTGGGTTATGTTTTACTTAAATCCACGATACCCGCGAGGCCACGGGGGGAGGCACCAGGCACTGCGTGACGTCACAACCAGCCAAGGGTTGTTACAGACGCCCACGTGACTCTCCACGCGGGTGAAATAAAACCGGATGCCGTGACGTCACTATCCCGGCGCGTTATTCTGGCGTTTAACTTCGTGGAGACGGCACGCGGCTCGAGCTACAGCGCCCCCTGGATACTGGCTTTGCCGCGTGTGCGCCGTTAAAATGTCACCCTGTCGCGTGAGTGCGAGTTATTCGACGAGAGATGTATCCAAGGTAAGTGATGGTAATGATGTTAAAGATGGTACTATGATGTTTGTCATGGTCTTGGTGATTGTGTTGATGGTGATAGGGAAGCTCCTCTTTGCTCGTGTTGAGTGTTGCAAGTGATACTTACGTGAAGATTGTAATTGTAGTGATATAGGTAATAGTTTAGTTGCTGTTTGGTGGTGATTGTGGTGATGGCAGTGATGCTAATGGCGATTGTGGTTTAGGTAGATGTTGTTGGTGATGGTTGCGGAAGGGCTCAATAAGCTATGACGCTTCATGTCATCGGTAGTGATTTCCCTGTGGTGTAAATTCCACATTCGTATGGCGAGGCTCATATTTAAATATACGGACAACTAATTGATTACCACAAAGTGGCACTTAATTTTTTCAGGAACCCTTCAAGGAAGAACGAGCTGTATTCTCAATATCTAAACGTGGATTTTAACTCCCATTTGAAGACAGTTCCAGGAGAGTGTCACATCTGCTGGACAGGTCTCCCTTGCTGCTCTAAACTTGGTTGAATGAAGAATGTCAAAGGAGATTGTTGAGGTTTTAATATTATACTTTTGCTGTGTGACAGAACGATCTTTTGGAGAAGGCTCAACTCGCTGATAACTCTGCACCTGTGCACAAGGTAAGTGTTCGCCGAATGTACGGATAGCAACTCACTTGACAGCAAACTCTTATAAGCACAATGCAGAGACAAGTTCACTTCTTCGGTTGTAGTAGTCGTGGACTACATATTTAACTGACATTCTAACATACAATTGACACAGACCACAAGCCCGACGCACAGTGCAGGCTTTCAGGTCACTTCACCAAATGTGTTTATTACCTGACAGCAAAGAAACAAAGTTCCACCACCCCCCCCCCCCCAACTCGTGTAAGCTCTATAGACTGTTGGGGCAAGTGCTGTTAGTAAACATCTATTACAACTATTACGGTGGTGCACTCGAAATGGTGGTGCGGTAATCAGGACCATGACGGGCTGCTTTGACCTAATGGCACAGACACGCATACACACGGTAGACTCGTGAAACATTCAAGGCAATGCTTATCAGCTGAGTTTGCAGTAAGGGACTCTAGTACTAGTGAACCTACCAGGACACAAACACACACACGCTTACTACACAGCACACTTTGGTCGTAGCTCTACTTGGACTTCATGAATGCGGTTAGGTGCGTGACCTGGAACCAGTTTAATAAAATACTTTCATCAATTGACCCTTCAGTCATATTTTTGTAAATTAGAAATCAATGAAAAATGCAGTTTAAAATGTTTTATGGAATTGGCCATTAGCTTCTGGGAATATGGGCACCGTTTCATGTTCTCGCGGAAGTGATGGCCAAAAATTACCCTCTAGGGTAATCCTCTGAGAGCTCCCTGCGATTTAGGCCCTTCCACAAGCAGTCTCTCAGTGGGTGTTTGTGGGTGTACCACTGTGTCTCTGTAGAAATGTCCATGTCTGTATGCTTGCCTGCATGTTCACGTGTGCCTCTCTGTGTGCATCTGTGTGACAAAAACAGGCAAATCCATTAGATGAAGTCGTCTTCCCAGTGGCAGGGATGAGCTGCACACCACAAGGTTTTACTTCACTTTATTCAGCATCATTCACCACATGAATTACTGCCACACTCCTCTATAACAAACACACATCCACATCTATCTAGAGCCAATCCCTAAATGGCTTTACAAATCCGTTAACAGCACACATACAAGAGGCCCAAATCGAGTCTCTTTGTTAAGGGTAACATTATGTGCTCGGTTTATTTGTGATTGTAATTACGTTTGTTGCACACGTGTATATGTGCATGAATGACCATGTGTGTCTTTGGGCATGTGTGTGTGCAGAAGTCTTGGACAAATTCAAAGACAGAATGACAGTGCAGGAACGTCGAGAAATATTGAAAATCAATGAAGTTTATTATTTCAAGATTCGTTCTGAACGAAATGGCCCTTCCAATAATGGCTACGATGACATCAACGACCACTACATTCCGGTAAGACTCTCCAATATGGGCCATGCTCATTGCAACTAAATCATGCATTCCACTATAAAGCACAACATCCCTTACACGCACGTGTATACCTAATATGTTGCTCATGATTTTCTATGTGAAGAACACTTAAATGTTAAGCGACTCAATGTCCTGGTTTTGGACATTTTCAGAAAGGCTCTCCTGGTGCCACAAAGCAACTACAATTTTTTTTTTGAATTTGTATCGATGAAAATGTTCTGGCCTAATGCTCAACTCTTGATACGACCAAAAGGTGGGGCTACCTGAGTAGTGGGTGGGGTTGGCATAGCCTATGAGTATAGTATGCAGGGCATACAGAGTGAGGCCACTAACTGTGTGGGTGGAATCCGGGAATTGAATGAACATGGCTATGTAAAAGTGAACGAGGCTGAAGGAGAAAGGGCCTGAAATTTGGCATCTGTGATTTTGGGTTTTAAATCTAGATTTAACAGTGCATCGCTCCAGTGGCTTCCTAATATCGGAAGGAAGAGCATTCCAGACAGCAGCAGAAGTGCATCTCGAAGCGCGCGATGTAGTGACTATCTTTGTCATCCAGCTCTGAGAAAAAAGCTTCAAAAATACAGATAAAGGACATTCTATAACCCACACTTTGCATAGAATGATTTAGTGGTTTCCAGCGTGAGGCAAAGATGTATTTGGCAGAGACATCAGAGAGAGCTCAGACATGTGCATGAGTGTGTGAATGTCAAACCAGTGACTGATAAATGAGAACTTGAATGAGCCGTGTGTTTAGACTGAGTAATGTTTGAGCACTCAGAGAGGGCCCTGGTTGAGTACTGAACACTTGTGTAATCTTGTTCCAGATCACGGATGAACACTTGGTGTACCGCTTCCAAGTACTGAATGTGATTGGGAAGGGGTCCTTTGGGCAGGTACTCCGATGCCTGGACCACAAGACGAAAAAAGAAGTGGCCATCAAGATGCTAGCGAACACTTCTACGTAAGTTTGAACAACGACATGGACCACATTTTAAAAAGATCTGAATTCGTGAAGAGAACCATAGCTTGTAAGAATTTGTGTTAATTTACACATTTCAGAGGAAGTCTAAACAGTAATAATTTTAAAGTTGATTTTGTTTAACCTCGTGAGAACTGAAGATACCATGATGAGTCTCATTTGCAAGAGTGACTTGGAGCATTAATCTGCCAGTAGGGGACAATGATTGCTATGTTGCACAATACAAATTGAGGGATTTGTGGTGTAGGTTTCGATATTGGCAAACATTGTACCCAGTTACAAGCACACAGTGGCATACTCTTGCAAATTACGTCAGGTGATCTTTAGCATCCATCGAAGCAGACAGCATGCATTATGGTTATACACCCGCAGTATTAATAAGAGCGGCCACTTGAATCGAACCTTGAACCTCTGCAACGAGTGGCGAACGTGCTGCTGCCGGGTCATGTATCCATCTCTATCAGAAGCTGTTGTTTCTGTATGAGTTTATAATTTCATAAATGTCATCAAACACCATCAAAATAATGTTTGATTTGTCATGAAGAGGCAATATGTAATTTGTATGGTGCCTGCCACGTGAACGTGGCGATCAAACCACTGACCAACAGCGTGGGTGAGTGCTGCCCTTTTGCTCATTATATTCTATTCTTCTATATGGCAACATGTTCAGGCACTAAATACCAATGCCAAGGTCTGCTAGCCACAAGAGGTCTTCAGGAGAGATTTTTGTTTTACTTTTGCAATTCCACATTAAAGCAGCAAAGACTACATTGGTTGACAATATCGTCCACAGTTTGGGTTGGAGCAGCAGGACACTTTCTACCTTACTCGCTTAACATAGCTCAAAAACTACAGTGATCATAATCCAGTGGTGCACAATTTTCACCTCACTGAGATGGGATGCGGTAACTCCTTCGAGTAACGACCATTGACAACTTCCCAACCAATTGGTGCAGCTTCCCCAGTTGGCGCTGATTACGTCGACCGGGCAGGGACGATGTCGACGTTGACCGGGATTAAGCGCTCATAGCCATGATTCTGGAGCTCTGTTGACTGAGCCATCCCATGTGTGTGATAATGCCTAAAAATATGCAAGACTTAAAGAGTGGGGTGAGACTTATCGATGCATTCCCTCCACAGCAACAACATTCAGAAATGCAGAATGGAGGCGCATATCATGAATGCGTTGCAGTCCAAGGACACAGAAAATAACTGCATTATTAGATTTCTCGGACACCTTCTGTTCAGACGTCATCCCGCCTTCATTATGGAGCTCATCACGTAAGTAAATATCACATATGTGCGCCAGCATCGTGTTTATCTCAAGCAAGTTTTTAAAACGTGCAGATAACATTCGCTGAATTTCAGATAATTTTTTTTTTGTTTGAGCAGGTGAGAACTTAAGAGACCAGGATGCATTATTCTTTGGTTCTTTCGGTAAAGTCACGTGACTTTACCGAAATAACCAAAGAATAATTCCTGCAGTCACGAAAGCTCCAAAATTAAGATTAGACCAGGATGCGTCTCATTTGCAACAGTGACCTGGGGTATTAGATTGCCAGTAGGGGGGGGGGGCGATGATTCCTAAGTTGTACAACGGCAATTAGAGTAATTTTTTGGGTAATTTTCGAATTTGACATCGGCTGTGAGACAGACACGGTGCGTGCTATTATTAGAGCTGCATTAATCAGGGAGGCTGCTGGATTCGAACCATGAACCTCGACGAAAGGCGGGGATCCTACTGCCATGAGGCCATGTCACCACCCATCGGAATGTCCCAGCCGTTTTATTTTAAGGCTTTGTTGGTAGTTTTTAAAAGATGAAATGGACATGGGTGCCTCCTTAACCTGGCACATAACTGTTTATGATGCAACGATACTCTCCCACCTTAATTAGAGTGGTACCACCATTTTACATTGTACAGCACATTAAAACATAGCACTTCATAATAATTACAAATACAGTAAACAATGTTTCTCGTTAATTTTGGAGCTTTCGTGACTGCAGGAATTACTCTTGGTTCTTTCGGTAAAGTCACGTATAAAGATAAAATAATAAATTAAATAATACCTGATGATGATTGCTTGTGTTGCAATCGAAACGTCGTATGCTGTTATTTAATTTATTATTTTATATTTATACGTGACTTTACCGAAAGAACCAAGAGTAATGTTTCTCGTTATCTGTAAACAACATTGCTACCTACCGCAATGTCCTGTCTCACCCATTACCTTCATCATGAAACCAGATGCAACAGCAAATTCTCATAATGAGCCCTATGAACGAAACTCCCTACCGTGGGCGTCGAGGTGTGATACCCTGGCTTGTCAGGAGAGGGCAGTAGAACACAAATGTCGACTCTACCTGTTCCACCTGTATGGGACAGAGTATTGTCCCCCTCGAAAGTGTGGGGTCTGTCTGGGGGCTCCGGTTCCTTCCAACATGTAAACGCTCAAAATGTTGTAATAGGTTTTTACCCTTTCAACTGGTACAAAACTGACACCTTTATACAAGGCATCATGTTTGCAATAACCACAACACAAGCAGTCAAAATGCAAACAAAAAGAAACAACTCTGATGATGATAATGATATGCACTGTCCTTGAAGTTGATTGGTCCACACCCGAGACAGCTTTTCTTAGAGCCTAGTCTCCATTGGTGTTGGACCAGATGACGCCAAAAGGCGTACAACTCAAAAACAGCGCACTATCAGAGTATTGAGAGCTCGGAGTAAGCATTTACACTATGAGACATCTTTACCAGTGGCGAAATATAGTAATAGATTTTTACCCTTTCAACTGGTACAAAACTGACACCTTTATACAAGGCATCATGTTTGCAATAACCACAACACAAGCAGTCAAAATGCAAACAGACTGCTTGTGTTGTAGTTATTGCAAACATGATGCCTTGTATAAAGGCGTCAGTTTTGTACCAGTTGAAAGGGTAAAAACGTATTACTATATTTTGCCACTGGTAAAGGAGATGTCTCATAGGTTCAAAATGTTGTTGATAATACCTTGATATATACAAGACCGCAGAGCTTAGGCATCTGTTGGCGCCTCCTCATCACTTGGTTGACTTCCTGTTTGTGTTCTTGGTTCTTTCGGTAAAGTCACGTCGAAGGGAAATAATAAAATAATAAAGATTAAACGTAATAAAATAACATTCTCACGACGTTTCGGCCACAACGCAAGCAGCCGTCCTCAGGTGAAGAACAGGGCTGTCAGAAAGACAGCGTCCGAATCTTTCCGACAGCCCTGTTCTTCACCTGAGGACAGCTGCTTGGGTTGTGGCCGAAACGTCGTGAGAATTGTATTTTATTATGTTTTATTTTTATTATTTTATTATTTCCCTTCTACGTGACTTTACCGAAAGAACCAAGAAGATGAATCCCTGCAGTCACGAAAGTTTTAAATCGAAATTTTCTGTTTGTGGTTCCTCGTACCTCTGAGTAATTTTCTCTTTATATTACTGAGTGATTACTGTGCATGTTATAAGTTGATATTATTATATTTCTCAAACCCAATATGCAGGTCATGTTTCATCATCATTCCCCTGGGAGAAATTTTAATTTGGTTTTACATGATAAAAATCCTAAACTATTGTAAAACACAAGTCCCCGAGTTCATGAAGCGAGCCTAAGCATTGACCAAGAAGTGGCAGGGAAATAACCATTGACGGTATCTTGTCTTGCAGCACCGACCTATTTGATCAATTCCAGGCCAACTCCACGATCTTTGCGCCGTCAACAATCAGGCTCTATGCAAGATCCCTGTTGACAGCCCTGGCAAAACTTAAGAAGGAGGCCATCATTTATGGCGACCTGAAGCCGGTAAGTAAATACAATAGCATACTGCGTCATTCATGGATTTGTGTTGCCTTGAGGCAACTGTGACGAAAGATGCCTCTCCCGTAACTCTAAAATTAAAAACCATACACCCTGCACCTTATACCGCATTGAACAACACGAATGTTTTTGTTTTCATAAATGTATGAAAATAATCGACACTCGTTTCAATCTTGGACATTGTCTATCTCTTCTTGCTCTCGAGCTCACTCTGCAGTTTATTTGAAGAGATTCTAATTTACATTCGTCACAATGACAACAGCTACAATTGGCCCAAAGTTAGACACATTTCTTACACGAGTAAAGGAGAGAACCACCTTAAACTGAATATGTAAAATGCAGTCTTAACTGGATGTCTAAACGGTAGGAGCTGCATGCCATGAACACATTTGAACGTTAACCACTATTGCCCTTTGTTATTTTTTTTCTAGGAAAACACCATGGTCAAAGACCATGCAACCGGCAACATCAGGATAATTGATTTTGGCGTGAGTGTCATGATGACGAAGCCAAGTGAGTGGCTTTACTTGTGTTTCCGTGCGAGGGTGTGTCTCTGTGTGTCTTTGTGAATCTTCGTCGATATACGAGTGGAGAGTGCTAGTGCAGCGGTTAGCGCAGTGCGCTACGCACCTGGCCGCCCTCAGTTCGATTCCCGCTCATGGCCGACACAAGTGACGATTATCTGAACCGGTGCTGGGTCCCCCCTAGGTCGACTCAGCCCCAACTTAGCAGCTAGTGCGGTGTGTAGTAAACATCGCCACTAGGGAGACAAAAGCAGCCGGGCGTAGTGCTGGCCACCCCACCCCCTCGTGTGCCGTGCCGGCCTTCATAGGTGCTCGTGAACAGCACTTGCCCCAACAGTCTGCTAAGGCTACACGGGGGATCTTTGTCTTATATGTGTGTTGGCACAGCAGGGGGCATAGTTGGTGCATCTGCCACTCATTTCGGTCCCATGACCTGTCGGTGAACCTTCGACACTTCAAGTGGCCTCAAAGTGCACCTGGCCTGGCACAGGCGCCGTGGTGACGTCACCGCCACTTAGTGGCAAATGGCGACTGTTATTCTTATGTGTGTGCGTGTGGAAACGTGGCATGGTGAGCAGCACTGCAGTGCACTATAATCTCAGTGACTCAGTTTAATCCTCAGCCACAGAGGCCTTAATAGGTCATATAGGCCTTAATAGGTGCTTGCAAACAACTTTACCCAAAATTCAAACCATCTCTTGGAGTGCCACTCACGCTTTTCCAGTTTTGACCCAGTTGTAGAAAGATACACATTCAATTGCTGTATAGAATTATAAAGGTTAACATCCTATAACATGTTTTTTTAAATCCGCGTGCACTAAAAAATCTAAGCAAATAACGTGCATGATCTCCTCGCTCAATCAGTGCTATTCCTCTGTGTGTGGTGTGCAGTTTTCGGATTTTTCGGAACGTTCGAGTACATGGCTCCAGAGATATTACTGGGCCTCGAACTCACCTGCGCAGTGGACATGTGGTCTCTGGGCTGCATAATTGCCGAGCTCGCTTCTGGGGAGTCACTTTTCACGGCAACAGGAAATCCAATTGACGAAATGATCACGGTACCTGAAATATGGCAAAATATAATCTCATTATTTATGATTTTGAAGCCTATGGCTTAGTTTTAGTTGAGCCAGCTCACACTGCTAATGCTGAGTGATGGTCCATTAGTCGCTAACAACGATATAGGAGACTGCCCTGGACTGCAATACACGGTTCAAGTAATCTGTGGAGCAATCATACTTTTGGCCTCATTCCATGGGAACAAATGTTGCTCTGCTGCCAGTATGTACATAGAGAATAGACATATCTTTAATGTGATCAGACACTAGTTGGACACGTATGATGTGATTTGGCCTTGGTCATAATAACTCAGAGTGACAGACTTTTACCCTTTCCATTCTTCGGGTTCATTGTTCGTCCCGAAGGTTCCTGAAGTCACCTTCAAAGGGCAATATTTGTTAATTAAGTACCCAATACAAATTAAATCTATTTGGCAGTGGTGTAAAAGGATGTGCAGTTCTTGGGAATAAACGTTTCAGTTTTATAGACCTTTATACATTTGAGGAAGTCTACTGTATGTATGTTTACGATACACACAGTCCAATGACCTAACCCATGTATATTAATTTCACTGTGACCTGTGCACAGATTCTTGGTCTCCCACCCAGTCCTATGATTGATGCTGCGACCAGAATGCACATTTCCACGGGTGAGTGGGAGGGCAGGTTGCTACTTCTGTTGTCACAATTATTCAGGCAAGCATTGCCGTAATGTACTTTGTTCTTCTTCTTGGTTCTTTTGGTAAATCACGTAGAAGGGAAATAATAAAATAATAAAAATAAAACATAATAAAATAATTCTCACGACGTTTAGGCCACAACGCAAGCAGCCGTCATCAGGTGAAGACCAGGT